TTTCTGTTCCCGTTGACCTGAGAGCCTGTGGCATTTGGAGAAACGGGCAAACTCAGAAGGTGAAGCCGCAGCCAGTGCTCACGCTGACCCCCCCCGATAGACTCAGGATGTTCCCATGGTGGTGGGAACAGAGCTGCCCGCCCGGGTCAGCGCAAAGCTGGGAAAAGCCCTGAGTTCCAGCGGGACAAGTGCTGTCCCCGCAGGCGCGGCTTCCCGACGAGAGCACTCAGGGCCACAGGACACTGGACACCGAGGGTGGCAAACACCCGACACCACCACGGGCTCCAGGTCATCAGCATCTTTGACAGTGAACTTCCCTGATAATTACGTGCTCTGAGCTTGGGTGAACAGGAGGTGTCACTGACCGCGTACACTGCTCGGCTAAAGGGCAAACCTAGTTACTGGGAGAATGAAGAACTCACTGCCCACTCCACCCCGGCCTGTTAAAAAAAGAAAAAGTGCAGAATGGGGGGCCATCCTATGGTTTCTGACTTTCTGGGTCTGGGGTGCGCCTCGGCGTCTGTGTGTGTCCTCACGTTTGTACGCACACACGCGTGCACGCATGTGGTTTTGATGAAAGTTGGTGATGGAATATGATTTCCATGGCTGTGATGGAAAAAAGCATAAGACACACAGTCTAGGTAAAAACAGTCATATTTAAATATAGACCAAGATTCACTTCATCATCACAATTTCTTTGAGATGATCTTATATGAATATGTGATGTGTGTCGTTTTCTGGTTATAGCAAAAATGATATGGAATCTTAGAAAATAATGATTTTCAGGCTTCCTCAACTCAGCTTTTTTGGGTGTTAACAGTCATTAACATATTCTGCCAAGGGCAGCTGATGTAGTAAATTGTGGGCAGAGGTATGCGTGCAGGTCAGGGGGAGGCGGGGGAACAGAGCCCCACAGAGTGCTGGGGGCTTCCAGGGCCCTGTGTCTTGCAGGTAGGGCCCAGGCTGGGCTCTTAGCTCAGGATGGCGGCGCTCTAGGATGTCCCTCCATCTCTCCCGGTCAGTCCCTCTGTTAAACAGAAACGTTTTAGCCATCGGTCATCTGCAGTTACATGTGACCCTGAGAGGCAAAACCTAGTGCCAGTTCAAGCCAGCAGGGGCTGGCGCAGGCTTGCGGGGCGCCCAGAGCTGGGGATGGTCTGCAGTCGGCAGTACGTAGACGGCAGCTGGGGACCCAGAATGAACATCACTGCCTCCGTCGAGTCCTGTTTCACTTTTCTCTGCCTCGGTTTCCTCACATGAGTAAAAGGGCTTGTAAAACGACCTGCCTCGTGGGGTTGCTGGTAATGCCCAGAGCATCCAGCGAGCGCTCAGCTTTCCCTGTGGGCAGTGACCGGACACTACATTTACCGGAGGGGTGGCCCTGGGGCACACCCAGCACGCCTGATCCCTGTATGTGCTGCTGAAACGGGCTCGAGGTGCCAGAGGCCAGTGCGTGGCTGCCCTTCCCCGTTCAGGACCGCAGATACCAAAGGCAGCTCGGGGCCCTTGCTGCGGAGCACGGGGGTCAAGCTCAGCCTCCAGGGCCCTTCTCGGTGACGCCCTGCAAGCCCTGTCTCTGGGCAGGTGGGACGCTGAGGACCCACAGGCCCAAGTGATGCTGCCGAGACCTTGGGCTGGAGCCTCCCTCGGGTGGTGACACCTGTGAGTTGCTCTAAAGAGTAAACACCGCCCCAAGGTCGCCATCCTGCTCTGTGGGGGGGGTCTCTGAAGGCCCCAGAAGCCACCCTCCAGCTGGTGACGTCCTCTGCTCCTCAGAGGCGGTCCAGGGAGCAATTCGTGATTTAATATCTCCACTCCCAGAAGTCCAGTGCGTTTCCCTGAGTTTCCTGGGGTCATTTTAGCCATTAGATGGAGGTGGGGTTTTTTAAGACATTTGTGCAATTTTCTGTAGAATTTGTACAATAATAGAGGATTATAAGTGCATGTTTGGGTAGTAGAGCAGAGCCAGACCTGTGCCTCTCACATTGTGCACTAGAGGCTTTGCTCCAGACAGAGTCTAAAGAAGAACTCTGCCCTGGGCTTTAACTCGATTAAAGCTGTTATTAATTGACAAATTGAAACTGCCCTTGTCCTAACCCAAAATGCTGCAGATCCACAGATTTTAGCTTCTCCCTGTGCTCCTTGCGTCCTGGGAGAAGCTACTTTCAGGACACAAACGCCCTTCTCTGTGCCTCACAAACACCCATATTCAGAGACACAAAAGCCAACTGTTGTAAAAATATTAGCATTCAGAGGCGCTTGTGTTTCGTTAATGCATTTAATCATGTACAATATAGTGACTGTTTGCCCTTTACGTTTGCATTAATTTACGTCAGCCACAGAATTTAAAGCACAGCTTGAAAATCAGACTCTTTCTGTTGCAACCTATAAATTAGGATTGCATCCCTGCAAAAATCTACAGCTTTGTGCGGCCACAGCATTCTTCATGGTGCTTTTTCACGTTGCTGCGATACGGTGAGGGATTTGATATGTGATAAATATCGGTGTTCTCATGTGGTTCAAGTAACCAGTGGTCATAAAAGACGTGCCATATTCTAAGTGGCATATTTGCAAGGCCTGTAGCGTGGCCGGCGTTAGGCACACCTGAGAGCTGTGTGCACCCTCTTAGCAGCAGAAAAAAGACCCCGGGATCACAGGGTCTGGCTGTTTGCCTGGTACTTGGTCTCTAGCAAACGTTTATGATACCCGTTGGGAGCCAGTTACTCTGCTTTGGAAACATAAGTCAATATACTGACTGCACGATGAGTGTCACCCACGGGACAGTCTCTTGACCCCTGTGACGTTGTTAAAGGAGTGTGGAATCACTCGGGTTTTGTTATTTGTGGAAGTAGGGGTTGTAGATATAAAAACTCCCCCGCATACATGTAACAAAAGGAAAGACCCTCGTTGCAATCATCCCCCAGACACGTGCCGTTCCTTCCTGGCACCCCAAGGACATGACCTTGGCCCTGCGCCCTATCTCTCCCTTGACCATAGCCCCTCCCACCTGTGCTCACCCGCACCTGTGCTCACCTGCAGGCTGAGCCTTCTCCTCCCTTGAAGTCTGGTCCCACCCACACCCCATTCCTTGGCTGTCTCTGGGCACTTTCCGCGAAGAAAAACCCTTTGCCTCAGCCCTTGAAGCCCTGCATAGTCTGGCTGGCCTGTCTTGAATCCTTCTCCTCTCACCTCTTCCCTCCACCATCCCCTCCCCTTTCCTCCATCATCCCCTCGCCCCCCCCTCCCCCCCCCATGCCCCCTCCCCCTGTTCCCCCCCCTCCCGCTCAGCACCTTAAGCCTTGCACGCTCGGGCTCCAGGCCTTCCTGCTTCTCCTCAGGGAACAGGCCAAGCTCATTCCCGAGGACCCTGTCCTGGGCGTCCCTCTCTGCAGAAGTCCGTCCCCCCACCCCCCGGCCACCCCGCCACCCCCAGCCCCGTCCTCGGCCCACACTCCCGTGTCGTCCAGCGGTCCCCTCAGGGGGCCTTCCTGATGCCCCTTATCCTGCTGTTTCCTCTCACACCATTACTCAACATGAAACGACGCATTGTGTCTGTGTCCTGTGGCAGCCACACAAATGACCGCAAACTGGGCGGCTGAAAACAGTAGGAATTTCTACCCTCTCGGTTCCCAGGTGTGGGCAGGGCAGCGCTCTCCCCGAAGACTCGGGGGGAGGGTCTTCCCCGGGTCACCCGCCTCCCCGTGTTCCCAGCAACCCTGTCTTGTACACACACCAGGCCACGGCCTGCTTCCATGCCACGTGGCCTCTGTGTGTGTGTGTGTCTGCGTCCAAATCCCCCTCTTCTCACAGGGACACTGGTCATTGGGTCGGGGCCCACTCTACTCTAGTGAGACCCCATCGTAACTGGGTTACATCTGCAAAAGACCTAACCCTCAAATAAGTTCACAGTCACAGGTACTGGGGACGAGGATGTAGACACACCATTTGGGGGGGGGGACATTATTCAACCCATAACGTTCGTTTTCATCTGTGTTCATGCGACAAGGACCACATCTTGTTCGCCTAGTGCAGGGGACATGACACTTGCTAGGCGCTTGGTAACGATGGGTGGCTGGGTGGGCGGATGGACGGGCGGATGGATGGGTGGATAAGTGGATGGATGGGTGGATAGTGGATGGATGGATGGGTGGGTGGTCGGATGCTGTTGGTAAATGCTAGTACACAGATTTCTGGGCAGTTTGATGGATGGATAGTGTGAGTAAAGCCACATTTGCCGTAGGTAAGTAATAAACTTTGGAGAAGAACCTAACTACATGACATTCATTTATACCCACCTGTGGTAACTGAGAGCAAGATGGAGGTACTGTCATTCTCGAGAGGAATACTGTGTATTTTTGTAAAAAGCTAAGGGAGGATGGTGTGCCACATGAACTACCCCGTTTCCACTTAAACTTTCTGATTGCTGCTGCTTACAGAGGAGAAGCCAAACCAAAATGTCCTGAACAAGCAGCTCTCTCTCATGCAAGAGGCCTCTTGTGGACTCAGGGTACTAAAGAGTTCTAAATGCCCCATTTCTTTAAGGCATGAATTGCAAAAGGTGTGGGCAGTTCCACTTCTAGCAAGAATGCTAAAAATACCTTTTGTCAAATAAGTGCTCCCAACACGCTTTGCTTAGGCACCAGTAGCCTTTTAGATGATAAACGTGCCATCAAGGCACCTGCAACCCTGGAGCCCCCCCAGGGCAGGCGTGGCAGCACCTAGGGGAGATTGTGTGCCTGGCCCTGTTTGCTCGGGAAGGCCCAGTGCCGGATCTGGAGCACCTGAGACAATTCCCAGGGCCTCTGAGACACAGAGCCGCCACCAGGATGCTCGGGCCGGATGGGCTCTGCCCAAGGCAGTCCGGGGCCGCGTGGAGCTCCTGGCGCCTGCGCACCCTGTGGATTTGATAGGAGACGGCCGGTTCCCCAGCCCAGGAAGAAAGCAGCATTGTCCGTGCCCCGCTTTGCACAGCCGTATTCATATCTCACTGTTGTTTGCAGATGTGGACCAGAACAATGGGACCCCCTTGCAGGACACAGCGGTGACAGACTCCAAGCGCACAGCGGGCCCAAAGAATGCCTGGCCGGGTGCCAACCCAGCTGACCCCGGGGGCCGCCCCCATTTGATCCGCCTCTTTTCCCGAGATGCCCCAGGGAGGGAGGACAACACCTTCAAAGACCGGCCCTCAGAGTCAGACGAGCTCCAGACCATCCAAGAAGACAGCGCAGCTGCTCCCGAGGGCCTGGATGTGATGGCGGCTCAGAAGAGACCCTCCCAGAGGTCGAAGTACCTGGCCTCGGCAAGCACCATGGACCACGCCAGGCACGGCTTCCTCCCCAGACACAGGGACACGGGCATCCTCGACTCCCTCGGCCGCTTCTTTGGCGCGGACAGGGGTGCACCCAAGCGGGGCTCAGGCAAGGTGAGCTCTGAGGAGTAGAGGCGCATGCAGGTCGTGCCTCCCAGGCGGTGTAAGCGGAAAAGGAAGGGAATCTGCAGGTGAACTCGGCCGTTAGAGGGAGTACAGCCTCCGTGCTGTCTGGGGAAACGTGTTGTCCTTGCTGGAGGTGCTTACGGGTTCCTGGGAGGGGCCTGGGTCACGGCTTTCGATTTTTCCACCCTCTCTCCCCTGCTCACCAGGGATGCGGTCAGAATGTGGTCCGGGAAAGGAGAACGTTCTGAATTCACATCTCCAGGGTGGTGTGGACGTGGGCACTGTGGTCTTTTGTGTCTTATGCTTGGGGGCTTTAGGGCTGACGTGGCTTCTGCTGCCCCCGCTTCGGGGCTCCACATTGGGCTATTGCCAACGTTTTCCTGGACTCAGTGCCGCTAGCTTCGTGTTGCTTTGCGACAATGATATGATTGAGGACTTTGGAACAAACTCGAAATTTAAATTCGCCTTGAGCAGACGTTCTCTTTTGTCTGAGTTGTTTAGGGAAATAAATGAGTGTGAGGGATTAAATGAGTGCGTCTATGAATCAAAGCTGTATTAGTTTGTTATTCCATTCATTTGAATGTAGAATTTGTGAAGTTTCATTATTTAAATGTTCTGTAGATAAAAATGTGTCACAGGAGAAAATCGCTCCTATTGTGGTCCGGTTTGTGAAAGTGGCTTCTGGACTAGATTGTGAATAGATCATCTGTGGCTGATGCTTCATTGAAAAGCTAATCCCCAAGTGGCATTCCGATAGCAAACAAACACATCGCATGCGCGGCACCTGAATTTTAGAGTGTTGGATGGCTGGGTGATTTTGGCAGGAGTGAGGTTTTTCAAAAAAGCCCCTGGTTTATTGGGTGTGCTCACAAAACACCTAAGATGCAGCTTTGCTTCTGGCTGTGCCCTGTGCTCATTCTGAAAGGCCTTTGGGAAGTTGTAAGGGGCTTTGAGTCGAGTGTGGAGCAGAGGCCCTTTCATCGTGGTCCTATAACATCATCAACACTGGGGCACTGGGAGTTCAGGAGTTTCTCGAATTTGCTTTAGTCTCTAACTACAGTTCTTAAAATTAGTGACGATCCTGAAATGGTTGGAGATAAACACAGATGTCAGCTGCGCCTTTTGTGTGGGGTTAAAGGAGCGTTGAGCTTTCGGGGACCTGCTGGGAGCTGAGACCTGTCACGTGACACTTGGCAGGACTTCCTGTGAATAACTCCATGTACCTTTTGTGCTTATAGAATTCACTTTCTGATTGGTTTCCTCAGTGTCCTGTACTTGGGGGCAGTCTTCCCTCACCCTGAAATGTGGGTCCTCTGACCTATTTCTAATGCCGATTTCCATCCGAGATGCTTTATCAAGCACGGCTGTCAAACCACACCAGACCCTGACTGCCTAATCAAGTCTTGCTATTATGCAAAGCACCCCATATGCATGCAGCGTCGACAGTCTTGAAACCTTAAACTATTCTGCTTAACCCAAAGAACAGGAAAAATAGATTTAAACTGTACAGAAGAGATGAAGCAGCTGGATATAGCATATATTGCAAAACAAGCTTCATTTCGGTGGTAATGGGTTAAGTTAAAATAAAATCGTGAAAGCGTTTATGTCGACTGTTGTGACCTCATCTCAAAATGAATATATATTAGACATACCTGTTTTTCTTCCTTTATGTAAAAGTACAACCTTGATTGCATCAAGTCTGATATTCTTCAACATTTTCAAAGAAAAGATTCCAGCCTCAGAAGTAGGCATCCACTTCACAAACTAGTCTTGCTGGGTTATCAAGGATTCAGAGAAATCAAAACATTTTCACAGGATTTTTAAACATAAAAACAATGTTTAAATAATGGATTTAGAACTTTTGAAGTATCAATTCTGTTCACTACTGGATGTTGCGTAAAGAAGATTTTTGAATGAGCAGCCTCGCCCTTTGATGCCAAAGAAATCCATTAGAGTTCGAATGCAAAATCATATCCGTAGTTGCTTATTGCAAACCCAGGCTAGGGATACATTCCTGTCGAGTATCTTTGCTGAAAATACGCAGTGGGCCTTACTGGCAGCCTTACTCAGCTCACCTGTCTTACTGTGGATTCTGTGTTCACTTTTACACACTGGAGGTGTAAGCCTCACACACTCTGCACCCAGTGTCACACCCGCAATGGCCTGCGGTATTTATTGGTGTGGGCTTACTTTTTGGTTTTGATCTTATTTTTGCTTTGCTCTGTTTATAAATCAGGAGAGCCCTCCTTGTATTAGGTGCTAGAAAGGTCCTTTGGATTGAAGCGTGTGAAACTGATGGGAGCCCTTGGCTCCCGGAACAGGGGCTGTTTGTCGCCTGCCCCCCTCCTCCGAGGGCACGTGGGGTGGCCCCTGGGTGAGCAGCGGCAGCGCCCCCTGCCCTGGGAATGCACCAGCACACCCACCCTCTGTGCGGCCGGGAGTTGACATTCGAGCAAAGCGCTCACAAATTCCTTGAGGCGGCATATACTTTCGAGAGAGCCGTACATGAAAAGTGCATTCACGAGACCACGCGCCTTTGTGGCAGGAAGAAAGAAAGGCGGAGTTGTTGCCTTTAAGAACCAGGTTTCCAAGTCCCTGGAACCTGGGGCCCTGTGAGGAATGGGCGGGTGGTCAGGACGGAGATGCCACTGCATTTGGTCAGTCTTAGCGGGTGGAGGGGGTCCCCTAAGCTGCCCCACCTACCCACCCGTCAGACCCGCCACTCCGGGGCCAGCGCTGCACCCTCGGGCTTAACAGCAACATCGTGACCTGTTAGCTTGGGCAATAGCCAGGGTGGCCGCAGTGATGTGACACCCGGACCCCCCCCCAGTAGGGATGCAAGGGGACAGGCCTGTCTCGCCGTCCTCTGCATCGGTCTACTTTCCTACAGGTGTTTTACAGCAGGTTTCTGTACTGGTGGTTATACCTGTTTTCCTCTGTTGACTACAGTCAGAGCTGCATTTACAACCTGCTGCTCTCAGCACCCGTCTGTCCTCAGCATGCCACATGACCTCCCTGCCTCTAACCTTGATTGTGTGGGATAAGAACGCTTGCTGTCACTCAGTGCCCTGGGGTCTAAGCAGTCTTGCAAGTTAATCACAACGTTCTGTTTCCTGCCTTTTTTTCCACCGCATTTCAATTTCATTGAACACATTTTAGTTCTACGGTAACTTAACTCCTCACCGTTAACATGGCACCCTAATGTTAGAGATGTATTCTGTAATCCCCCGGGGAGGGTGACAGGTGGAGGTGACAGGAAGGACACGGCAGGCAGGCAGTGTCTGAGCAGGCTGCCCCACCCCGTGTGAGTCTAGCCCTGAAGTCGGGGGCCGGCGGAGCTGCGCTCGCTCATTTCAGCCGAGAGTGTGCCCGCTCACGATGCAGCGATGCACGAAACATGGATCTCAGCTAACGTGCGTCTACGTGGCCACGACCCAGCCACTCAGTACATCAGTTTGCCAAGAGTCTTTCTAGAGAAAGATCCCTGTATGCTGGGTATATGTGTTTCTGCGCCCAAACACTTGTTGAGAGTTCCTACAGGAATTCCTTCTGACGTATCATCCCCCTGATCAATTACGGATCCATTACTGATCGGCTCCCAGCGCTTTGCCGTGTCCTCCTGTGGCCTCACCCCTCCGCTGTCTTTAACCAGGCGAGCGAGAACTCGGAATGGGGCGCCCCTGTGTTGGCAGCCATTTGGCTGCGTCCTCTGAGTGAAAGGTTTGTAGATTGTGTTGATGTATTTAATGCCGATTGCCTTCTGTGATTGTATTCCGATTTGACTTTGTGATGACCTTTTGCTTTTTATATATTTCTTCCTTTTTATGCATTTATTAAACGTTTTAACAGACTAATTGCATGTGATTTTTTTAAGTTGTCTTTTTTGGTGACCCTCCCTTTACTAAGCACATGGTGTAACTGGTATTTTCATGACCTTCTGACACAGCAGGTGTCAACCAACAGGTGAGCCTGGGGGCCCGAGCACACCCTTCTGCGCACAGTTTTCACGCCTCTGCTTTACACACAGACGTTCTGTTCTTTTCTCTCCACTGGCAGTTCAGTATCCTGGTCTTTCTGTTGGGACTGTTCTCGTTCTGCCTGAGGTTTACTGTTTCTCTCAAAGCACCGTCCTGTACATGTTGGGGGAAATGACTGTATTCTTCCCTGTGCCTGGGACACGGGACCCTCAGTAGCATTTACTGAGTGATTGAGCACAGGAAAGACGGCCCCCGCCTGGGCTCCCTGGGAGGGTACATACCAGGGGGTAGAAGAAACAGCGGAGAATCTGAACGTAGAGGCAGGCTGGTTCTTTTAAGGATGACAGGTAGTTTGTGAAATTGAGGGTAAGTTCGGGGTTGCTGGTGAACTAGAAATAAGTGCAAAGACATGGGATTAATTTCAATCTGTCTCCCATTCGTCTGTGCCCGTATCCTGCCACCAGACCCTGTCCTAACTCATGCCCTGTTAAACTCACTTCCATGTTATGGTGTTGCTTTCCATCATCGCTGATGTTCCTTTTGGTAGAAGGAACAGGCAATTCCTACCGGTTGGTGGAGAGCTTAGCTTGACATCTGAGGGAATATCTCATCATTAGGGGAAGAAAACACTCCCTCGATCTCTCGTGGAAATCACTAAGTGTGGATTTAGCATCCCAGAATTGGAGAAATCTCTTCCCACACTCTGGTTTGATAGGTCATCGCGGAGTTTCCCCATCACGGACAGCACCGCGCTCTTAAGCCCTCGGGAAGCGTGCTGCTCCACGAGAGACAGCAGAAGGCGGACAGGGTGACACGCGGCTTCCGGAAGAGGCCTTCCTGCCTTTTCTCCTCCTGCCCTGCGGGTGCCCCACGCCTTCTGCTGGAGATGCTCTCCCTTTGATCCTGAGCACGTCTGGACGCGAGGTGGAGAACCTTCCTCTGCTCTCACACAGACAGACAGAGCTGTCTTCCGTCCTCCTGCCGCCGCAGGAGAGGCAAGCCGTCAGGGAGGCATCCGTGGGCCAGTCTGTCGCCCAGGGGGCCACCCCATCTCAGAGCCGTGGGCCATCCCTGCCCTAGGCTGCGTGGCCAGCGCCCAGGAAGCCGGGGTGGCAGTAGAGGGGCCTTAACACCAGCCCCCAGAGCTGCCTGAAAATGTCGCAGAGAGATTGACCTCTTCGTTAAGAAGGGATGTGGTCTTAAATAGAGGACTAGAAAATTCTTTGCCTTTGGACCAAGTGTAGGCATGGACCACAGGCCGTTTTTGAGGGTTTTCACCCTCAGTGGGGACAGCCTGGCCTCATCAAGGCAGAGAATCCACAGGCTTATCCACTGAGGTGTGCTTCTAAACAAGTACTCAGTGGTCTTATTTAAGTACCCAATACCGTGCATCAAAGTCGCCAGTACTTCTTGCTAGTATTGAAATAGCCTCTCCCATGCGGAGACAACTGATTGTGAGGTGCACAGCTAAGTACACGCTCACCACGGATTTGCCTCTGGAAACCCTAGTGTGTTCACTTCACAGTAATATTTCTAGAATGCATATTTTCCTGTGTCATAACTACTGCTTATTTCCATGCATAACCAACTATTAACCTGGTTTTTAAAACTCCATTTCATCTGTAGCCAATATAAGACATCCCTTGAAACCTATTACACTGATTTTACCTCTTGACCCCTATGAGGCTCTCTGTCTCTGTCTCTGTCTCTGTCTCTCTCTTGCCATTTTGCTATGGCAGGTCAAAAGAGAGGAACTTCTTGCAGGCCCCTTACGTTGGTCCTGTAATAATATTCTCTCCACCACATCCCTCAACGTTGGTTGATTCGGCAGAAACTGTCTCGTAGCCGATAGAACAGGGAAAGCGCGCTCAGTTAGGAGCAAATACTATTCAGGAAGATTTATAACACTAGAGTTCAGGCTCGTTCACAGCTCATGAAGCAACTTCAGGTCCCTATTAATATTACTATTAAGCTCCTAAATGCCACCGACAGCAAAGAAGAACGGCCGTGAGAAAGCCTAACTCCAAGTGGTCGGCTAGGATGCCTTCTGAGTGCTCTGTTGCTCTTGAAGTGGTTCCCTTCTACTGTGGAACAGACTGAGGGGACCCAACTGAGAGCCACAGGTAACCGCACAGAGCAGGAAAGACTTCTACTTGTAAATCCAGAGCAGAAGCTAACACACTTGCTCTAAAAGAAAAATAAACTAAAATAAAACCCCCCAGAGTGTAAAAGCTATTCCATTACAGACTCGGAAAAGCCCTTTCAGCTCTTCACGTGAAGCTGCCTTGGAAATCTTACATGTCTGGTGCCGGCAACATTTTTAAGGAAATTTGGTCACATAATGAGCTATAGGCCCCCAGAATAGACTACGGGAAATAACTGTTCCCTAAACCTTTCTCCTTCCTCCTTTCTCTCTGTCGTCCCTCCTCCTGCCCCCGAGCCCTCAGGGGCTGTCCCCTGATATCTGCCCTCCCCGTGTCCCCTGAGCCCTGGCCACTGGCTGGTCCATCCTCCATCACCGTCACGTGCCTCATCCTCTAATCTTCACCCTCCGCTCGCCCGCCCTCCTCCCTGCCGCCAGGAGCTCACCCGCTGGAGGACGTGGACTCAGTGGCCGCTCTGTCCCTCTGGCAGGTCCCGTGGCTCAAGCAGAGCGGGAACCCTCTACCCCCTCATGCCCGCAGCCCGCCCGGGCTGTGCAACGTGCACCAGGTAAGACGGCTCCGCCCGGCGGCCGCGGCCATACCGCGGGGACGGCGCAGGCGCTGCCAGGGCCTCGCTCCCCCCCCCACGGGAGCCTTGGAAAGTCGCGTTTGTCAGACCGAGCAGGGCAGCTGCTGAGGGGAAGCGAGCAAAGGAAAATGTGCAAAGACGGAAGGGGGGGTCCTCGCGAGGGATGCGCGGCCTCGACTGGGGGTCCCGCCCAGACGGAGGTGGGACCAGGGTGAGGACAAGCTGCTGGAGCGAGCCTGGCCCCCGAGGTGGCTGGCAGCCATGGCCTTGACCCGCCTGTGGTCCCGTCTCCTCCGAAAACCGGCGCCTAGCGGACACGGAGCGCCCGCCGAGCACGAGGTGAGTGAGCTCTTCCAGGCGCCAGCCCAGCTGGGCTTCCCCGGGGGAGGACCTCCTTCCCGGCTGCCCCTCGGAGCTCGTAGGGACCGTAGGGACAGCCACGTGGACGGCGGGCTGGGGCGACCCCAGGGGAGGCGCGCGATCAGCCCGGGTCAGACTCAGCTCGCGGGGGGCACAGCCCCGCCCGGACCTCTGTTCTGGGGCCCCAGGAGGCGCTGTGCCCGGGCATCAACCGGCCTTACCAACCTCGGGAAAGCGCAGGAGGTTGAAACCACGTGGCACGCGACAGGAAAGCTAGTTCTGACTGAGCCCCGAGGGTGAGGATGGGGCCCCAGGAGTCCCGCTTGTGGATCTTCCTCTTCAAACGAAGCAGAGGGGGCCAGGGGAGCGGGACCCAGGCAGCCGGGAGCTGTGCCCGCAGCTGAGACCCACCGCGGAGCCCTCTGCCCCGCACCGGACAGTGTGACCACAGGGGCCTGCGGGACCAGCTGGTCCCAGGGGAGGAGGGGATCCATACGACGTAAAGGGTCGGCTCCTGGACGTCGGTCCGGGGGAGGCTGGCAGAGCGGCCGCAGAGCCAAGGGCCCGAGCCCGTTGTAGGACCCAGCCACGGGAGCGGTGCTGGGGCCACTGGCTGCCAGGAGGGACTTGCCGTCAAGCCCCCTCGGGTGGGCAGGGGCGCATCTCCAGGTGACAGCTGCAGTGGGGCTAGAGGGGTGCTGCCGCCGAGCCCGGGTTTCACGGGAATCGCGTTTCAGTTGTGACCATCGTGCTCACCGGTGCAGAGGGCCCCTCGGTGGCTCCTCAAAGCAAACAGCCCCATCCCCGGGGAAGTCGAGAGGGCCCCGTCCCACTGGAGGCACATAACCTCTGGGGCCCTCGGGCCTTGGCCTGGTCCACACTCAGCCTCGAGGAAGCCAGGGCTGGGCCCCAGAGGCCTTCTGGGGGGCCCTGGGCTCCCAGGCCAAGTGCAGAGAGCTGGAGCGGACGCTCCCTGTTTTCTGGCAGTGGGGATGCGGGCACGCAGGCGGGGACCCACGTGCTCCTTGTGCCCGAAGCCACCGGGACCCCCGTCCTCTCCTCCATGGGACACGTCGCCGTCAGAAAGCAGGCCTGCTCCACCAAGAGGCAGAGACATTGCCAGAAACCCCAGATGCAGTGCAGGGCGGGGAGGGCCAGAGGCCAGGTCTTTGGCATTTGGGGATGATAGGAAACTTACAGCAGAACGATTCTTCTCTGTTGGTGGAAAAAGGGCCGCAGCCCCGCCCTCCACAGCTTCATCCCAGACAGACCTCTGTGCCCGCACGTACACAACTGGCCAGAAATGCACGAGGTCCACACAGCAGCCCCAGGGATGCAGCATGGGGGCCGGGCGTCCGCGGCCTTTGCCTTTGCTGTCTGTTCACTGTGTCTTCCTCCGGCACGCTGCATTCTTCAGTATTTCAAGAAAGAGCTTATGTTTCTCGGAGCGTTAACGGCCCCGGACACAGGACAGCACTGAAGGGCCAGGTGGCACGAAGTGGTTTGAAAATACGACAAAGGGCACGTGGAGTGGGCTTGCGGAGGGGACAGGAGCCGTGGGGTGAGGCCACGGCCGGAGGGCTGACGCAGGGGCTGGGGATGGCGGTGCAGGACCACTGGCCGGCTCAGGACCGAAAGCTTCCTCCTCCTTCCCCTGCGGTTCGGAAACTTAAAGTCGGTGAGCGATGTCAGGCTGGCATCCTGCACCTGGACCTCCTTCTCTCTGTCTGTCTGTCTCTCCAAACAAACACACCAGGAAGGGTGGGAGAGCCCCACCTACTACACGTCAAGGAACAAGTGGGCTCAGCACTGTGGCTGCGCTTCCAGGACTGGGTCCCCTGCGAGGAATCCCTTGATTCCAGGAGCCTGAACACTTCTCTTGATTCTGACACAGGGCTGACCTTGAGGGCTGGAAGAGGACCATGGAAGACGGGAAGCCCGAGGCCACGCATGAAATAATATTTGATACCCAAAAGCAAGCTGGGAAAGCACGAATTCCAAGGCAGAATCAAGGAGCAAATATACAACAGGGAAGACAGCTCCGTGGGGAGATAGGCAGAGCCTTTCCTCTGGTTTCTCCATCATGTCACCCTGGCTCCGCATGGCTGGGCCTCTGGAAACTGCATGACCCAGAGCGCCTGGCGCCTGCGGATGGAAGGAGCTGGAAAGGTGCCCAGGGCGGGGAGCGCGGAGCAAGTGCCTCGCCCGAGTAAACCCCGTCCCACCCACACCTGCACGTCTGGGCCCTGGAGATGCAGGAAGAACAGAGGGGAAAGCCCCTGTTCCCACGCCCGTCAGCTGCTCTCACTGGCTTCCTTAAGCCCCTCTGCCTGCATCCCACAAACCCCGGGAACCGGTCCTCGTGGCCTGGAGAGGACACTGCCTGGACGCCCGGCCCGGGAGGTGCCCAGAGGTTCGTCCAGAGCCGCCCTGCCCGCTGTGACCCCGCAACCAACCGTCCCCAGGATGCTCGGGGGGTAGGAGTCGGGCTCTCAGCACCTGGACAAGCACAGGGTAAAGATGGAAACACGCGTGGGAGGTCCGAGTCCACTGCCCAGCCTCCGTGTGTCTGCTTTGAGCCTCCTTTCCTGGCCTGAAAAGCACACCAACGTCAGAAATAACCGTCTGTCCTGCCGACGCCCCGGGCCCCCGTGCTGATGGAAGCTGCCGGCGCATCGAGGGCGCGTCAGGCCTGCTTCCCGCAGGGACCCTGCGAGGCCGCCCCAGCTCTGGCCGTCAGCTCCTGGGTTCCTGCTCTCAGGCCTCAGCTTCCTCACCCAGAAAGCAAAGGGGTCAGAGTTGGCGACTGCAAACATCTCTCTGAAGACTGAGACTCCATGGTTATTTCCTCAAGTCTCCAGGGACCTGTCGTAAGCCCAGCCCCGCCAACCCCGAGGTACTCGGGGTGACTCCGTGCCTTAGGCTTGTGGGCTCTTGTTCTGCTCCCGGGAAGCACAGCCCCCAGACCCCAGGCATCACTCACATGGAAGGCCTTCCAGAGGCTTCCCTCGTATTTAGTCGTCAGGTTTTCTCAATAGATTTCTTCATGATGCCCAAGCAAATGGCTCTGACCAGAGCTGGGTGGTTTTGATGGGTCCTGGAGGTCTGGCCATGGGGACCCAGAGCAGAGCGAGTGGGACCCTGCCCACCTGGGCGGAGGCCGACTGGCGGTCGTGGGGCCGGGCCCCTCCTGGGGAACTATGGTCTACTCCCCCCACCCCCGAAGGGCTGCCCCCCAGTGCAGCTGCGCCCGGGCCCGCAGCCTTCACTTGCAGGAAAGACTGTTGCAACTTGGCTTTTCTTCCAAAATAATCTTCCGGACTCCGCATCCCTTAAAGCACTTGCTGTCGCTCTGCGCGAGGAGACTCCTGAATTCTAAGCCAAGCCAAGGCATCCGGGCTTACGCCTCTGCTGAGCTGTTTGATGTTTACGCTGGGAAGTCTTCTGCGTACTTCAGACACATTGAGGCCTTTAAAAATGGGTGCCTGGGAGCAAGGAAAACAGTCGGAGCGGTTAAGGCCGACATCTAACCTGTCCTCCCGCCGTTTTGGAAGGAGACACGGGAGGCCTCCAAACCCACGTTCAAGAGCGTCGCTCTCGGCACCAGCCCAGGCGCCCTGAGTTCGGGAAATAGCGGTGAGCCTTCCCTGCGGGGACGACGAGCCCAGGCCTCCGGCTGTGAGCTCCCCAGGGCTGCCCGAGACGAGGAGGGAGGAGCTGCCTTATGGGACAAGGGAGGGTGGCCTGGGCACTGCAGAGGGAGCCTCACGTCCCTGGAGGGACGGCCCAGGGGCAGCCGCGCATCCTGTCTGGAGGAGAAGACGGAGCTGTGGGTGGAGAACATGACGGTCTGCGGCGTCCTCACCGACGTGGCCGCAGCTCCCAGCTCTGGCCGGGCCCTTGTCCACTGCACTGCCTCCTGTTCCACCATCCTGGCCCGCTCACCGGGGTGACAGTGGAGGCCAGGCCTCGGAGCCCCGCCCGAGTTTAACCCCCCTCGGGGGCCACGCAGCCACCACATGCTCACTGAAGGAGCGGACGCGCCAGCTGTGACATGTGATACCGACTTCCTGTGTGTCAGTGTCCAGGGTGACCTCATGACCACATCCCAGGTTTCGTTCTGTCCTTGCCAGGAGGCCTCTGACCCCGATCTTTGGACGGCCGTCCTGTGGAGGCAAAGCCATCGGTGCAGAGGAGGCCGGGGGCTTCGGTTTCCTCATTTCCGGTGAAACATCACAGAGGAAACCAGAAGCTGCAGTGCTTCCCGCAGCCCGCTGCCTTCGGCTTCACAGGCTGCTAAGAGGGTCAGCTCTCCAGCTTGGAAACCGGCCCCTCTAACCACGGGCCAGGCAACAGCCCCAGCTGAGCGGAGGACCAGGGACGACCCACACCTCCGCACAGACCGCGCCCTGCCAGCCTTCTCACATGCCAGTATCTGAGAAGAAACGTGTCATCAGAACAGGCAGCAGGTCACCGAAAATCTCCACCTCAACGAAGGTCTGCCTGTGAATCTCTCCCGTAACTGAGAAAAGCCCGCTGCTGATACTGCATGGCTTTCTCTAAAAAAGAAAAAGCCCATGGCTTTAATTAAACTCCTTCGAGTCAATGATTCAGGAACA